TAGACTATTAAAAAACGCGGAACCGAGATAAGTTGTAACCCTTTGTCCTCCTCAATGTACAATATCAATAATAAATGGTACCATGTCCAATATGACATGACAGAGGTAAAGGCTCCCACACAATTATCACCTAGCAACGAAGTAAACTGGCATTACACCTCAATCCCTGACCTCGCTACGACCGGGATATACTCTGAAACTGATTTGGATGGACTCAGAAATCATCTAATGTACGGATTTGAACGAAACGCAGTTGAAAATATACTAGTGCGCGGAGTTACAGGATCTAATCCGAATCTACAGGGATTGGATGGAATCTCAATTTTAACACCTAGTGGTGTTGAAGAACTATCAGACAAAATCATGACACGGGTTTGGGGATGGGTTTCAGTATTTGGGAATATTAGTTCAGGCATCATTGGGTTGATTTTCATCTTAAAGATCTTCAAGTGGTTAGTAGACGCTATAATAAATGACACAGTACTTTACGATATGTACGGATTTAGCTATAGAATTTTGGGATGTTTCTTAGATAGCCTAACAGCATGTTTGGTGCATAAACAATATAGTAAAACAAATCCGTATCCGGATGTGTGGGCATGTGTATCTACTTTTGTAGTTTCATATGTGCATTCATTTCGGGCCTGATGAAGCCAACCAGCAGAAATACGTATCGCTCGAGTTACCTATCCTATTTTCTGCTCGAATCCACTTTCCTCCTTTTTGCGGATTTTGCCCATTATTTTCCTGCTTGTTGTTATATACCGCATGATCATATTCTCTCTCTCTCTCTATATATATATATATATATACAACAAAAAAAATCCTTTGTACGGAAATGAGCTGATGTGAATGTAGCTACAATCTTGCGTTTAAACACATCATTCAAACAAACGCAACACACGAGACGACGTACCAAGTGTAACTGGTTTGTGAAATTAGTATGTTACATCCCAGCTTCGACGTGGCGAACAGGATTAAGAAAGTGGGAATGTTCCCAAAATGATGTGATATTTTGTCACTTGTTTTTTGTTTATTTAAAATTTATTTAGCAAGAATGCTACCATTCTTTTAAAAAGCTAGAACAATTACATAACATAGAGATATTTAGAAAAACAAAACTTGAATCACTAAGAATTCTCATTGTCCATGAAATAGTCTACTCATTTTTATATATTTTATTTAGTTTATTAAATTCAAGTAATCCTTTCTGAAATATTGATTTGCTTGTTACTATTTTTTAAATGGAAATCTATCTATCTACTTATATAGTAATTGTGGTAATGAATATTCAATTCTCGCTGGTGTTCTAAATGTTGTGACTAAATATGTTTTTTTAATTTAAATATAAAAATAAGAACCAAATATGATTTGTAATTTTTTATATTCCACCACTGCAATTCTTGTAACATAGATTTTATTTTGGCGTAATTATTTTTAATCAATATTATTCTCATAGCTTTATTTTGTAGGACTTTTTGTTAGGAAATTTTGGGAATTCAGGTTTATTGGTAGTGAACAAGATAGTTGAACAATATAGTAAATATGGTAATTGTATTATAAACTATTTTTTGGAATATATGTATACTAAGACTATGAAAAGCCCTGTAAAAGTAATTTGACTTTTGGCAATTTTTTGAAATAATGTATTCATAGTGATCCTAAATTTAGTTTACTATCAATATATACCCAAATATTTCATTGATTCAACATTATCAAGTATTTCACCATTTTTCCTAACTGTGATGGAATTTTCATTTAAATATTTCCGTATAAGCACATTTTCTTTTAAAAGCATTCAACTTTAGTTTATTTACATTTATTTAACCAATTTATGATTTTTGCCAAGTTAGAATTGAGCATTTTTAAAGCAGTGTCTATATTTTCATCTGATATGTATATTAAATAGCTTGAAAAGTCCAACTTACTGTGTTATTGTTACATAAACACTTTTCTGTGAAATATAGAAGAATCCTGAAGGTACTTATATATATATATATATATATATATATATATATATAATATTTTTTAAGCTGAACAGCTTTGTTGTGCTTTTGTTTCCCTTTCAAAAAGCTATACGTTGAATGGAACTAAAGAGGCAGAGAGAGTTGGAGCAAGCAAGAATTGTAAAAGTGGTTAGATTCCTGTGCCTTTTTTGGAGGAATTCCTGATGGACAAGTAAAATGTAGTTATAGGATAAGATATTCACTATGAGACGAATACTATTTATTATAAGCAAGAGACTAAGATCCGAGGGCAGCGATTATATGTACTTTTAACGCCCTTAGTAGGAGTAGTTAGTATTATGTTTAAGAACAAATAATTCTGTTTTTAAATGAGAATGATGGATATTTTTATTAACTCTCAGGAAATTATTAAGATTTTATTTGGCATCCTCGCTGGTAAAGTGGAATTGGCTATCTTCAGGTGAAATATTAATCAATGGTAAAAATTAGACCAAGAGATACAGAGAAATAATTTTGCAGTGCAATGAAGTATTGAACAAGAATAAAATCGAGTCTAGGGCTGACAGTTTTTCATAATCCAGTTTCTCATGACTGTAGAAGATTTCAGACTTTACATATATGTACAAGGAGATGCCAAAAGTCTATTACATCAAAGTGACGTGTCACGATCACGGACACTTTTCAACAAAGCCTCTTGGTCATCCTCCAAGTCTTTCGTGTTATCAAACTCCATCGACCCACCGACTACCCCTCGCGCGATCCTGAAGTTCTGCGTACTGAACACTGTATCGTAATGACTTTCGCTAATGTTTCCTATAGATTTGCTCAGCCTATCACTACGACCCAGCCCACCTTTGACCCTTTTACCCCCGGTTAAAGAAGCAGCGTTATTGGTAGTGGAGGGGAAGCTGTTATTCCTCCAAGTAGAGCCGAACCGTCTCAGTTCGTTCAAGGGGGTTAGCGCGGACACTTTACTGATGAAAAGTTGCAAGGAGGACGCTTTGCCGCTGTCAGTGGATGTGTTACCTATTTCGTGGTGGTGGGGACGGTTGGGCGGAGCTTGCGCCAATTGTGTGCGGGTCTTGTCCAGGTTGGGCGCGCTCTTGCTGAACAGACCGCTGCGATTGGTCGCTGCAGGCCGTAGGGCGGTGATTTGGCCGCGCTCGCGCTGGTGGCAAGTGCTAGGACCCCACGTCTTGCCCTTCACCCCGTCTGCAGGCACTAGAAACGGATTCATGTTTTTTGCCACCCGGTACAACACAGTGCTGCCAATATTCTGATAGCATTCTCCACAGAAGCTAGCAGATATAGGATTTACAGAAATTTTGAAAGTAAAATCGAAACTGCCTTCAACTTATCAATGTTCCTCTAATTAAATGATTTTGAGTTCTCTATGAGGGTCAGCTGGAGTACCGTAGCAAACATTGATAGTTATAAAGAATAAACAGAAATAGCGCGTTAATTTGATGGTGTAATCAAGTCTAGTTGGTCCGTCAAGAACATATTTTCTTGGAAATGACAACTAATATTAGAAATCGAGGAATTCCTGAAACCCTCAAAATATGAAAGCCTTATAGGACTCTTTGTCTCGAATCAAACCACATAGATGTTTTAATTTCTCTTTATTGTACAATAGAGACAAATTAAAACATATACATGAAAGTGGTTTGATTTGGACAGACAATCGAGTCCTATGGACATGAAAACTAAAGGATAAGTTTCAGGAGTTGCATAAGCTACAGTTTTAGCTCGCAATGAGTAATCTCGAAGAAAGTTGTTATTTGAGCAGATTTTAAAGAGCTGTATTGATTCTATACTGAAGGCTATATCAGTTTTGGAAGCTCAACATATTTTGCAATATTTTAAAATAAATGTGAACCCAGATCCGGTTTCTACATAAAATACATTGAGGAAATAGACATTTCCCTGGTTATCTAAAAAGTTGAAACCCAAGAATAAAACCTGGAAAGTACGCATGTTGGAAAAATCCTCTAGGAGAACCTATCGGCAACACTGGTTTAGAAAGTTAATCGATTCAGTTTTCGAACTCCTCAAATGATGGATCCAAAAGGGATTTTCTCGAACGTGTGTCTTCTGAAATTGCTGATCGACGTTTAAGCTCATAGGAAAAGGTTTAAGTAGAAAATAAACTATTCCAAAAAATAGCTACATTATTACAAAATGTCAAAATTTATACACAGATTTTCGTTATACTAATCCGATTCTAAGAAAATAAAAAATAAAAATAAACTGTGTCGAAAGCGATATCCAAACAATTACCACACATGACAAGATATCTAATTCAGCCTAAGTATTCTAAAAAACACACAAGCTCGACAAATCCATGCTTTTGGTATGATAAAAATACATGCTGAAATGTATTTACGAAATTTATTATATTTCTGAGTGTCTGATTAACGGAAAACCTAAAATGATAAACTTTGTCAGTAGTTCAGATTTTGTGAGAGTTCTTAAAATGTCTCATGTACCATATATTTTAACGTGTATTTTTTTCGAATCGTCACTTTGCTTCTTGTAATGAAGAAACGTTTGCAGCTACTATGCGGCTAAATCTGATCAATTCACAATAAATAAAGGTTATTCCATAAATCATAGGAGACTTTTTGTAGTTTGAAGTACCCAGAGGCTAGTTTCTCCCTAGAATGATGCAGAAATGGAGTGTTGTAAGAAAATGGAGTCAGTTCATAAATTATGTAAGGTACAAGTTAGCCCCTCTGAGAAAAAAGTTGGCTACGATCATTTCAACACAATCTTCATGAAGGAACGGTATCATTTCGTTGACGTTCACATATTTCTGCAACCGTCCGCCCTGAATCTGGCAGCGCTGCACTGCGGCCACCCAGTGTATCGGGCAGCCTACGACACAGATACATACACGCGTGTGTTGAAAATATTTCATTCAAAGTTTTAAGGGGAAATGTACGGGGGAATAAATGATAATGTAGAATATGACCAATAGGATTACTAGGGTTGAACACGTCACATTTTTTACTTTTTTCCAGATTACAATACTACTGGCGAGGGAGGTGAAACTGCTTTTGAACGGCATTTCTCCAATATGGAGCAAGCAAACTAAAGATTCGAAAAGATCACGTCAAATATATAAAAACACCAACTTTCTAAAGTCCCACAGGTAACCAAGTTGCCTACATGAATATGTCGCTTGAGAATCAAATGTGCAGATCCGCATTTTTTCGTGAATAAACATAATCATAACATTAACCTTTGATTCAATCAGACATGCAGAAATATAATTCTCAATAAAAGAAGTCAAATATAATCTGATAAATCTACAGAAAAGGCATAACTTACGTGCAATGGCTCTCAGTCTAGGTATCGCCGGCGATCCAGGAGGACTATTCGGCGATATGACACCACTCATCACTTTTTGTTCGAACTGCTGAACAGTTATTTTGTGCACGAAGTCCGATGGCGAACTAATGTTCGAGCCGGGTTCCTTCTTGAGTTGTTTGAGTAAACGAGACATCTTGAATTTGCCTGAAAAAAAGAATTATATTTAGAGTATTCAATAAAAAATGAAACAAGCTCCAAAGTGCGTCACAAATAGTATGAACTCCTACAAGTCATGATCCAGAGGATAGAGGAGAGGCACGGAATGGAGAGAAACCGAAAACCCTGGACAAGAGCAAAGTTAAAGAATGGACTAGTAATAAAGATTTCGTCCGACCACAGACGACCAACCATGGACATCTGTTTCGAGCTGTTGGGATACAGTTCCAATAGACAGCTCGCTGTTTTCACTCTAGCAGTGGTCAATTCTGGTAATTTTAAATTAAGTGGTGTCGGATGTTCCACGCAATACCTAGATTTCGATTAAGATCGTAAAAGGTACTATGAAATCGCAGGAGAGTACCAAATGACAAACTTTTAAGATATAAATCCATTTGTTGACTGAAAATGGAAAATGATTTGTCATCATAAAATGTTATTACTCTGAATCGACAATTGTTGTTTTATTCTAGAAACGTTTTAACTTTTATTTATTTACGGATCGTATAAAACCCATAATAACATATTTTCTGTGTCGCAACAAAATATCGAAAGGTGTTATTGCGTGTAATTTGCCTAGAGAACGACATCGATATACATGGTGTCCCAGAAATAACACGCCAGAGTGACACGGGATATAGATTGGCTGCAGATCAATTTTTAAGCTTTTTCAAAAAATCGCTTTTTGCTCCTTTTTTGCCTGTTGTGGCTATAAAGAACTTCGAGCTTATGTTTTTTCCTGGGCCAACATTAATAGTTGGTTGAGACATCTGAGTATTCATTTCATTGAAAACTAGCACGGTATGCAAAAAAAATAAATCATTTTGTTTCAATGTGAAAACCTTTACTAGAGTTTGACTAAAAAATCGGAAAATGATCCTAAAAACTTAAATTTAGTTAGATTTTTTGCAACATCATATACTCATTCTTTTGGAAGATGTGCCTCTTGGTTACAGCATGATGGTTGCCCTGCACACTATACTAGTGAAGTAAGGGGGTATCTTGGTGAAACATTCCCTAGAAGATGGATTGGCTGGCTAGGATCAACTTTGTGGCCCCCACGCTGCCCAGACCTGAACCCTGTGGATTTTTTTTACTGGGGATATTTGAAAGATAAGGTCTATGGAAAACCAGTTGGATCATCGCCATCGATTCCGTCAAGCAACACGCAAAATATCCGATTTAAGTTTGAGGCGTTTAAATGGACAATTTTTAAAAAGAGATTCGGGTTGTGTATGTCTGTGGCAGACATTTTGAAAAGCTGTTGTGAAAATAATAATAATAAAACTTGAAAGTGGCAATACCTCGAAAACTAGAAAACCTTTACTAACGTCATGTTGATTTTATCTGATTGATTTGAAGCCAATCTACCTCCCGTGACACTCTAGAGTGTTATTTCTGGCACACCTTGTATAAGCCGAAACTAAGGGGAATTTTCTTCTCGGGCGAAACATATTGATGTAAATGGAGATTGTGGTATGAAATTTATCCCCGACTTAAACTTCTGAGTTATGCTAAAATCTATGATAAGCAGAGTCGCCAGAAGTCCATATACGAGTTTTTAAAATTTAAAAATTAGAATCAAATTTTATTAATAATTAAGCCTCTTCCTTGATGCGCACTTCTAATTTGTGTTTAGGGGACTTATTGTTCGAGCAGGATGAAGCTACAGCCCACACAGCCCAACGTTCAAAGAATGTTTTGGAAGCACTGTTTCAAAGACATCTCGTCACGTTGAAATGTGATTAAAGGTATTCCTTCTCTGCCTAGGCATCTTCATCGCACCCTATTATAGCTAAAAGAGTAATTTGTTGAATAATATATAATATATACAGGTTTATAGTTAAGTATGTACCATAAATTTAACAGACGACTCTAATTTTAAGACAAAAAGCTCATATAAGCATAGCTCCGTAAATTCTTCGTTCTCAAGATACATGGTGTTTAAATTAAAAAAAAGGTTTTTCGTAAATATTTTAAATATCCTTTACCTAATTTTGTTGTAATTTGGCGGTGGTATTTATAACATTAAGGAGCTGATTTAGCCCTGACTTGATTAAATTTATTAAATCCAGTGGTGTCTCGAGCGGGATCTGAACGAATATTTGTGACAAAAAATGTAAGCCACTGACTTTTGTACAATTTTTGTTCTTTGGATTAAGAAAATAGATATACTACCTTTTTTTGTCTCTTGATTTTTTTTCGGATCTTGTTTAAAGAAAAAAAAGTCCACTTAATTGCATATCCCTTGGCCACACAAGGAATATGTAAGTATAAGTTTCTTTTGGAAATTTATTTTTTTTATAATTTTTTATTACTAATTATGTTAATATTATTTAGTATATTTGTTGTTGTTGGTTTACATAATCAGTAATACAAAAAATAAATTCCAAAAAAACGTTTCCCTATATTCCTTGTATGGTCCAAGGATATGCAATTAAGTGGAATGTTTCTTCTCTAAAACTAAGCAAGATACGAAAAAAATTCCAGAGACAAAAAAGATGCATTTCTATTTGCTTAATCTAAAGAGCATAATAAAAAAATTGCACGAAAGTCAGTGGCGTACAGATTCCCCTCGAGACGTCACTGGACTTAATAAATTTAATTTTTTTTATACTACAACCACCACGAAGGCCTAAGCACCTAAGGCCTAAACACCCATGTGGTACCGGGGGGTTATAGGGCGATACAGGGGAAAGGGGGAATGCCACACGAGATCCGCCGGGTGGTACCTCTGCGTTCGACAGTCAGAGACCGTCTACCACCTACGGACAATCACAACATCTATAGCAAAGAGAAAGATTTCTCTTGGGACGGGATTCGAACCCGCACAGCGCACGGCGACTGATCAGGAGATCGAAGAGTCTACTACTGCGGCCACCGCTGCTGCCAAGTTAGGACTAAATTAGCTCCTTAATGTCATAAATACCACCGCCAAATCACAACAAAATTAGGTAAAGGATACTTAAGATATTTACAAAAAAAAACATTTTTTTCAAATTGAGTGTTGAGAGCAAAGAATTTGTGTTTATTTGAACTTTTTGTCTTAAAATTACTAAAAAAATCTTATCTTAAATTTATTGTACATACTTAATTAACATCCTGTATGTAAGCAAGCTGTTCAGAGCATCATGAGTCTTTACCAACAGTATGTTGCTGATAACGACCGCCATTATTTTCAAAGCTCGATAAATGTAAAATGGCATAAACTGTTACCTACTCCCGAAATTTAAAACATTATTTTAAAGATCCAAATCTCTTTTTACAACTCTTTGAAACCGGTTAGTTCGGTTCTGGCGCGCTCGGAACATTGCCATGAAAGGACCTTAGTTGACGTACTCATTACCTTTCCGTCGTATAGGCGTAGGAGTTTGTTGCTTTATCATGAAATCCAGTTCCCTTTCTAACAATTCTATCTCCCTGGCATGTAGTTCTTGCTCCTTCTTTTTGAGCTGCTCTTCGTGCATCCTTTGCTGTAGCTGTGCTCTGTTCAGGTCTTCCTCCCTACATCGTAATTCCTGTAAAAAACAATAAGCACCTCTTTATATTTTCATTGGGATATACAGCTAAAAGTAGAGGAATTAATATCTTACTAAGCTTGTAAAATGGGCCATTCAGAGAGCTTTTTGGAATTACTTATAGACGTTATTTTTTCATTGTTAAAGTAATAGTTTTCTTTAAAAATCCCCACAAAAAGTAAGGACCCTATATCTATTGATAATTCACAATTTGGCTATAATGTATCATAAAAGATACGTCAGTGTTTTTTTATTCCCCACGACCACTGACGAAAAACCATGTCACTCATTTCCACCTGTTGGTCTGTAATTCTACAACCGACTATAACTTGAGAAGTACTGCTTGGATTTTAATGTAATTTTCGTACAATGTTATTACTAGTCTAAGGATGAAAAAGCTTTGTTGTTTTAAAAAAATCGGTCTAGTGGCTGCGGAGGAAAAAGCAAAAAATGAAAAAAAGTAAAAACGAAACAAACGACAACCGCCCAAACTTCACTTTTTGACGTTTCAGAGAATCTCGGTTATACTGGAAAAAAGTTATAGCGGTAAAATCTTTGTGGGTGGGGGTTGTAGGGGGGTGAGGATGGTCTATCCCAATTTTGTGATGTTAGTATCTTCATACGCTCCCAATCTTGGTAATTCTACGCACCTGTTAGACATATTTCACACACAGATTTCTGCCTTTAAAACATAACATAAAATATATTCCCACCTAACGGCCGCGTCTGCTTCTGCTCGCGGCGGCGTGCCGGTCCTGGTAAGTGTTCTGCTTTTACTGCCGCGCCACAGCATAGTATTTCCTATGCTGCGAATGCGGTGCCACGTCTGATCGTGAGGTATCGGAGAGAGGCGACGTTGCCAGATGAACTACCGGTAGCAGCGGGAAATAATGTATATGACTAATTTTATGAACCTGTTTGAGTGACTTTTTTCTCAGAATGTCAAGTTTGTGCTGAACTTAATCCTTTGCGAACCGATAACCGCGTTGCGTGGGAAAATCAGAGTTCACCTACTTGACGCCGTTTTTTTTTGTTTTGGCACGGTATAAACACTACAATTGAAATTAATATTTTTGGGTAAAAC